AGTCTCGGGGCCACAGCCAAGGGCCTGGAGTCACCCCTACCGCATCCAGGCGGCCCGGCGCTGGCCCCAGGGGTGCCCCAGACCCGCGTGGCCACAGAAGCAGTGCCTCTGAGGCTGGCCCCAGGCTGCGGTAGCGGCACCTCCAGGGCTGGCCGTGTTGAGGAACCTCAACACTAGCACTGCCTCCTCTCCAGTGGCAGTGCGGGGGCGGGGGGGGATGGAGAGGCAGGGCTGAGCTCCCCCCTGCCCCGGTGGGGCCTGTAATTAGGAGGCGGGCCTGCACCTGCCTCGTGGACCAGATCAGAGCCCAAGGCAAGCCAGATCTGGCCCGCTAAGAGGCTTTTGCTCACTCCTGCCCAAGTCCTACCCCCCCATGCCAGTAAAGACAGGCACTGTACAGCTGAGTACCACAACATGCAGATGGGAGGGTCCCATAGGGCCTGTCCTTTAAGACTGTCAGGAACTTCCAGCCCATTTAGTGGCAATTGGGAGGGAGGATTTTGTTAGCTACCTCTTTAACAAAACAGCATGTGTTTAAAAAAATGAACTTTCCAAACAGCATACATCATTCTTTCACTCTATCAATGTAATGGATGCAGTAGCAGTTTCAATGGATGGCACCTACCCCATGGTTCATTAAAAGAAGAAAACTCAGATCTGACTACAAAGCATCAGAAATCAGAGCTCCAGAACTAACTTAAGGGAAATTCGGTGTGTGTTTGTTTAAATGTGGTTAATTTCCCAAAACTTACACTTGGAAATTCTATGGCTTCTAGCTGATTCCCTCTGCTTAATCTCCCTCATGAGGCTGCCACGGGAGTAGTTTCCATTTGATTAACTATTCTTTTATTTCAGTCACTTAGTGTTTTGCAGTTTTTTGTAATTAGAGGTAGTGATTAGAATATTTTTATATTACACTGGAGTTTTCCTTTTTGATGTTTTCAGACGCTTTTTTTGTGAGCATATAACTCAAGACCAGTTTAGTTTTAAAAGTTCATAGTTTGGTGAAAAGCACAAGCCATGCCAAGGCTGAGTGACCCTGGTGGAAGAAAAGGGAGGACCAACAACTGAAACAGCCCTCTGTTTCATCTATTTAAAGCAGCAAACTCAGCACCAGGCCTGAACACAAGATAGGTGCCAGGGAGGAGAAATCCCTTCCCCAGGCCATGGATGCAGAAGTTACCTCAGTTACTGAACTAGATGAAGCACTTACTTCTCTGCCCACCTTTATAGCCACAACATAACTATCCCTACTCCCCTGAATCAGAGCTAGCGTTACAGTTTTCCTAAATGACTAGAGAAATGAGGGGAAGGGAAGAGAATGGAACTATCTGTATGGCAGCAGAATCCTAAATCTTGCCTTTGCATCTTGTACGTCAACTGTATTCCTGCATGCCGGTCCCCAAAGCAAAGCCACCCTGATTTCACTGCAAAAGATCTATGAGCAGAGAAGGGAGCTGGATTTGTTCATTGCACACCCATCAGCTTGCAGGTAACTGGATATCTACTTGTGCATACATGCAACTTCTCTGGTCTACTACAACATTACCTGGGCATCAAAAACATTCAGACAATTAAGGGAGCTACCTCAGTAAGTGTTTCATAACAAGGGACACAATAGTAATTAAAATAAAATGGCATTTTTACCAAATGAAGTTGTACCATATTTTATGTCTTTCCTCCTAAGAAATCTTTTGGCTGGCAGTCTGGAAAATGCAAGTGTTCAAAGGGTTAACTGTAAGTGACGAATTAGTGAAGCAGCTTGATCAATGAAATTGATTTAGAAGAATTGTGTAAGTGTTAGTTTGGGTACTATACCGATCAGAACTTCTAAAGCAGAAATATTAAACATAACATACGATGTCAACATTTACAGATGCAGTCTGTATTATCCGCAGTCTGCAGGCTAACCTTTTTCTCTGTTGAGAGCTGATGCCATACTGAATTTGCAGATTGATTTCTGTGGCTCAGCTATCCCTATTGTGCACCTCTGTTGTGACTTGTCCTACTTAAAAGTTTGCTGCTTTCTCCATTTGTGATGTTACATCTATGGAAAACTAATGTTCAGCATATGCTTGTACTGAAGAACAGAATATATTGTACTACATGCAATTAACTCTCTCAAGTCCCATCAGTGAGAGCACTGAAAAATGGTAATACACTCAGTTACTTTCATATGATCTAATTAACCATACTAGGCGGGAGTGCAGGGAAATTAAACAGATAAAGTTGTTCTACTTAGTATTTTAATGTTTATATTATTCTGAAAGCCTAAACCAAAAGATTTCATTCTTTTTAAAAAAAATCTATACGCAACTGAAAGGAAAAGAAACAATGAAACAAACCAAAAGTAAGGATAGCTTGTTCAAATTTTCATCTCTGCCTCTGTGAGGCAGTTACAAAGGTTCAGTGTACAGCAAGCATACTGGTACACAGGGTTTGTAAATGCAACTTCCTTGAATTAAGAGAATTCCAAAAATCAGAGATTTGTGTACATCAAAATCTCACATCTGCATGCACATAGATGTATTCAGATGTCTGGACACTCCCAGAGGGGAACATTTTTAGTTTTTAAGTCAGGCAATATTCCACAAGATGTGAACTCCCTCTGAAGTTCACTTTTAGATCTGTATTGGTAAATAATTATTTGAAATTATTATTATTATTATTTACTTTGTTTTAGCAGCCTGGACAGCCACAGGATTCTTCAGGTTCTGTTCCCATGGTAGTTCCCCACATAACCACTGCAGCATGCAGTAGCCAAGGATTTCAAGGTCACTTCTTCTGGATGGGGCTAAAGGAGTAAGAGAGAGGGACATGAAGAATATGAACTGTAAGAAATAGAAAAGCTTTGACTGAACTACTGTTGATGAAATATGAAAAAGCCAAATGGGCAAAGTGTTTTGTTTGTTCAGCTGTAATAGAACTAAAACGCCCAGGATTTTGGCCTCAGTCCATAGACAGGCAGTGACTTTTTGCTGCTGAAAGTAAGGGTCAGTTTCCTCACCTCCTCCAACTTCATCCTTCCTTAGTCTGGCCTGTCACATGAACTTGATCCCCATGGCCTCTGACATGATCCAGACAGCCCATAACCCAGTACCAACACTTTCTCAAAGAGCCAAGCAGTAAAACAAAGAAATAAATGTCTGCTACTAAATTGCTAACACATGTTCCAGGAAGTCCATGGGGTCCACATTGGTCATGCAGAGACCCTTTGAGTGCAGACTAAACACTGATGGCCTTTCCTGTTCTACTACAGAAGCATGTGAAGTTGGAAGATATGACAAAACTGCCATCTAGTGTACATTTACACACCAGATAGGTCTGCTTATGTGTGCCACGAACATTTGTTTAAAGAGAGAGTTGTAGCACAGGCTAAAATACACTGGCTCTTTAATATATCATTCATACATTTATCACAGTGTTGCTTGCCAATAAGAAAAGCACTGAGCTATTTCACAAACACCAAGCTCCCCCCCTCCAAATGAAAAAGCTGACTTTTATGTGAAAACACATACTAATTTTGTTTCTTCACTACTGGTTACAAAAAATACACATCTTATACACAGGGAAACAGACAGTTCTTGAATTCATTCAAAGATTGACTGTTCCCAGGGAAAAAAACCCATTGCGATATAATCTAAGAACTATCATTGTCAACTGCTATTTTAAGTAATGTATATTTAAAGAAGAGTTTAAGCAAAGAGGGGCAGATGATCCGTCATTTTGTGTGTGAAACTAAAGCATATCCTATAGTTCACAATACAATATGATAGATAGGCAGAAGTATATGAAAATAAACTGTTAATCAATTAAAATGATTGGGGGAAAAAACCCAGCAAGACCTTTTGAAAATAAATTGCATATTTTCCCAAATTCATTTGAAAACGCCATGAGAACCTGAAGGAGAATGTTTATATTTGCATGGTACTCCATGTCTAAAGTAGAGACACAGACAGACTAGTAGTAGAGTATGTGGCTATTAATCCAGCTGTAGACAGGTATCATATTTTATGAGCTTTCATTAAATACATTCCAAAAAGTTACTCCACAAACTTATCTTTTAATTTAAAGAGTCATCTTTTTAAAAAACACAGTGCCAACTCTTCATAGCTATTTCTTGTTACCATACATATTGTTATGAAAGCATAAAGCAAGATTAGTTCTTACACATTCTCTATCTTTACCACTGTTAGGCGATGGGATTATTAAAGGTTCTTCAATCTTAACAGAAAGCTATGATATCCCTTGGGTATTATTTATTTTCTGCACTAGATTCAACAATGTCCTAATGCAGGACTTGGCTCTCCTATTAAAATAAAAACAATCTCTACCACTTGCTGTTCTTTAGCGATTTCTTCAGTCATAAATCTCCTGTTAACTGTGGAATGATTCCATTCATACACATGTGTTCACAACTCCTTTTTCCATTATGGCAATTCCAGATTACAACCATATAAACCAGCATTTTTTGATGGCAGATCCTCTAATTTTCACAAAATGCTATTCTGGCACATGTTTGTGTAATTCAGGTCACATACAACCAGCCTTTTGAGAAAAATTGTCAGAATTACAATGGAATACTTTTTTCACTCAGGGAATAATTGATATGAAGCTGTAAGTAATGGCAATTCATTTAGATTTCAGAAGCTAACCTAACATAACTGCTCTTCAGATTAAATAGTCCTTAGAGAGTAAAATTTATTCCATTGTTGTAGTTTGACCATGTCTAATTACTCTGAATTCACATTTTAGACCATTCACCTATTTTTCGATCTGCTACTTCCTTTGTGTAGCAAAGTCATGTTGTGAGTAGGCAGTGTGTGTAAAGAGATTTACTGATGTGTTAAACTACACATTGGAACAATTAAAAAGCAAGTAAAAATTATTATAAAGAGATGCTAGATTACCAAAGCTGTTTATGTATCTTCATGTTTGCAAGCCAATCTTAATACACAAATAGATTTACATGTATATTTTAGAGTCATACAAAAGTATCAACATTTTGTTACCTACTTCTTTGTGTACCGTTCTATGATTTCTCCCTACTCTTTCATCAGTTCATTATTAGATATCTTCTTGAAATGAATATATTTATATCATCATCATAATCATCTTTAAAATATATATATTTGGCTAATAATTACTCTACTCCTTAATGACACAGCCATGTAGTTTATGGTAATAACAAGTTGAATAAGTTACAAATGTAAACTGTCTACAAAAAATCCCAATTTTTATCGCAACTATATTTTTAAATCAGAAAAATAAGTATGGTAATAAAAATCTAAGATGAGATTATTAGAGTCCTTGATGATTTAAACAATAAATCTGGTCTTAAAGAATCTTAATGCTTGCTTTATTTTAAAATTTTGACACTTAAAATACAGCAATTCCACTTGATAATTTGTCACTTTTATAAGACTATATTTTGAAAAGAGTCCTTACTTTGAAGCAAATTATATTTGATTTCTCCATAGACTAAGAATTCCTATTCTTTTTTTAAATAGACATTTGAAATTTGATTTTCCATTAGCAACTATAATACTACCATGTTATAGTTTTTAGACCAATACTAAATTCTATATGATGGAAACATTTTAGAAGTAATATATTCCACAATACTTCACAATTTAACTATTTTCACTTGAACATTTAAGGCCTGATTCTATACTCACTTCTGCCAAGATAAATCAGAAGCTATTCCACTTAAGTCACTGGAGTAACACCCACAATAATTAAATCAAAGTTAAGCCTTTAGAATATATTCTCAACATGTAGGAATGGATAAAGATATCTGCTAACCAGAATTCACATGTGGAACTCTCCAGCAATATAAAATGGGCAATTTCCACTATGGCCCTTATTTTGCTATTTTTCCAGGTGCTCAGAATGAGTTAGAAGGCTGATGAATGACAGACATAATGTGGGTTTTTTTATGATACTTTCACTAGTATTACAGGTAGGACCTCCCTGGTCCAGCATCCTCGGGACCTAAGTGGTCCCAAACAAGGGAATTTGGTGGATCAGAGGAAATCTCCTGCCACCAGCTCTCTAGCCTGCTGTCGCCCCTGCTTCTGGCCCCAGCCAGACCCCCCTGTCTCCAGCTGGCCAAGCCACCAGCCCTCCTGCTACCAGGCTCCCAGACAGACAGCTGGACTGCCCCCTACCACAAGGTGCTACGGGGCTCACGGCCATGCTACCGGCTCCCTGCCACAGGGCGACCACCCCCTGCTTCAGGGCTCCTGACCATGATGTTGGTCCACCTCATGCTGCGCTGCTGGCCCACCCCACTGCCATGGGCTTCCTACATCACTGGCCCTTCTGCCCTGAAGTTTTCTGGTCCAGGAACATCTGTGATCCTACCAGACCACAGATGGTGCTGGACTAGGAAGTCCCAGTTTAGGGAAGTGTACACTGTATCACATTATAATTTTATCATTAGTCTTTATTTAGATTGTAAGCTCTTCAGGGCGTGGATTGTTTTATACATTTGTACAAGTGTCTCACACAATGGGACCACCAATCTGGGGTTCTAGGGGCTACCATAATATAAATAGTAATAGTGTTCTTTCATAACACAAAAAGAGGGGAAAAAGTGTGTCAAACTGACTGTGGAGTTAGAAATATAATTTTAAAAATATATTACCCTACGGAGTTATATCTTATGAGACGAGTGTTGTCATCTGTTGGGCACCATAAAGTAACAGAACAGTTCAACTTAGGGCTGAGAATAAGACAAAGAAGATAAACGAGACTGAAATATGAGACTTGACAAAATTAATGGCTGACATATTTCCAAGAAACATAATGAAGTACTACCTCATAGAGGGTATGGTCAGCCTGAGGAATTTACTGCAGCAGGAGGGCAAAGTCAAATATAGTGCATTAAAAAAAAAAAGTCTGGATAGCTTTAAAAAACACGTGAAGGCAGTGTACACAAATTTAGGAGAGAGTTATTCACAGAACTGTGTGAACAGCAGATTTTTTCAGTTTGCTAGTAGTTTGGGGAGGGGATGGAGGAAGCATTCTAGGTCAACCTGACACTAAAATTTTTCAGCAAATCAATTTGGATAGAACAGAACAAAACACTGTTTCAATTTAGGACATTTAACCTTTTTTTAAAAAAAAATAAAAGTATAGGAAATTTTAGAAACAAAGGGCTAGTTTTGTAAAATTAGGGTAGAGGTGATCCGACTATATTGACAGCCCAAAAGTTAAGGCCCTGATTTGGGAGGGGGCCACCCAGCTGCAGTCCCAGTTCCATTCAATAATTATTTATAGAAAGTGGAATGGATTCCAAATAAAAAACAGAGACCCCCCATTCCAACTAGTGTATCCTATAGCCTGGTATTCAGGGAACTAACCTAACTCAGGGAAACATGGAGTGAAGTCTTTGATCTAGAACAGAAATTTGAACCTTGATCACTCACATCCCATCCAAGTGTCCGACTCAACAGACTTGTGTGTAAGGTTCAGAGAAGAGCAACAAAAATGATTAAATACCTAGAAAACATGAGCAATGAGGAAAGACTAAAAGAATTGTGTTTGTTTAGTTTAGAAAAGAGAAGACTGAGAGGGGACATGATAGCAGTTTTCAAGTATCTAAAAGGGTATTACAAGGAGGAGAGAGAAAAATTATTGTCCTTGACCTCTGAGGATAGGACAGGAAGCAATGGGCTTAAATTGCAGCAGGGGAGGTTTAGGTTGGACATTTGGAAAAAGTTCTGAACTGTCAGGGTGGTTAAACACTGGAATCAATTGCCTGGGAGCGAGTTGTGGAATCTCCATGAC